TTTTGCCGATGACTGTACCAGCAGTGTATCGGGCTCCAGCCACCCACGGATTCCCTCACACCACTACGCTAAGAGAATGATTTCCCAGTAATTAAAGAGCTCCCCTAGGACCGAAGCACGGATGGGGACATGTTTATCACGCTGTTAGCCAATTATACACTGCCTAGTTTATTTTTTTTTTAATTTATGTGTAGTCCCGGAGACGCTTTACGCAAAGGGAACTCTGGTGCAGTCAATCCCTGTTCTTTATATTTTGTATTACTTACAACTTTACGCTTTGGTGTCGTATTTCTCATCAAATAGCTTTCTTTTAAGGATGAAAAATCCTGGAAGTATGGAATATATATATATATATATATGTAAACATTATTTGAAGTGTTAGCATTCAAATAGCCAGCAGAGGATGTGGCTTTTAAAGTTAGCATTTCAAAGAGAAGCGGGTGAAACAGATAGGCAGTCACCCTGCTCCAGCAGTGAATTCCAGAGCAGGAGATCTGCAGATTAGGCGCAGTGCCTGTCATTTCTGTGCCTCGCACTGTCTTGTAGGCACAAAAGATGAAAAGTTTGTCCGGTGCTGAAACATCAGATCGATCTTAACGCTTGTTCTGCGTGAATAACCTGTGCCATGGCTTTATCTCCTTGTCCTTGATGATGTTGATTAGTGCTGGGATTATAAAAGACAGGTTTTCATTAGGGTGAATGTTTATAACTTCCTCGGTAGGCAGCTTGCGGCTGGCTGAACGGTATTGCTTTCTATTTGCGAAGCCTCACGCGACTTGCATGCCATCATCTTTCTTAGGTGGAAACAAATCATGTGGATTATGGTCTGTTTTGTTTTTGCAGACGAGGTGTGAAATGGAGAAGTACCTGGCACCTCAGCTCCCACCCGTTCCAGTCATCCCTGAACATAAGAAATACAGAAGAGACAGTGCCTCAGTTGTAGACCAGTTTTTCACTGACAGCGAAGGGTTGCCTTACAGCATCAACATGAACGTCTTCCTCCCCGACATCAGCCACCTGAGAACTGGCCTGTACAAATCTCAGCGACCCTGTGTAACCCACATCAAGACAGAGCCGGTCACCATCTTCAGTCACCAGAGTGAAACTACTGCCCCTGCCCCTGCTCCCCCCACTCAGGCCCTCCCCGAATTTACCAGCATCTTCAGCTCCCACCAAACTCCCGATGTGAACAACATTTTCATCAAGCAGGAGCTTCCTACTCCAGATGTTCATCTTTCTGTCACGCCCCAGCAAGGCCAGTTATATCAGCTCTTGAGCTCACCGGATTTAGATATGCCCAACACTACTCCTCAGGCAGCCGTGATGGACTCCCTTAACAGTGTCTCCATGCCGTCAGCCATGGCGGGCCTTAACACGCTCTCCTCTGCTGTTCCACAGACTGCGATGAAACAGTTCCAGGGCATCCCCCCTTGCACCTACCCCATGCCAAACCAGTTTCTGCAACAGCAGGCCACTTACTTCCCTCCTTCGCCCCCGAGCTCAGAGCCTGGAAGTCCAGACAGACAAGCAGAGATGCTACAGAATTTAACCCCTCCTCCGTCGTACGCTGCGACTATAGCTTCCAAGCTGGCAATTCACAATCCGAATTTACCAGCCACTCTGCCCATCACCCCCCAGAACATCCAACCTGTCCGATACAACAGGAGAAGTAACCCAGATTTGGAGAAAAGACGTATCCACTACTGTGATTATCCCGGTAAGCGATCTGTGCCAGAAAAATCCCAGCTCTTGCAATAAAAAAAAGTGTGAATAACCACGGATGAGGTATAAGTGGTTTTCTTTAGCTGTAGTCTACACCTAGGGATAAGCAAATCATTCCTTGTTAAAGAAAAATGCATCTCCTTTATTGTCTTACTTTTTGTGGCACACTTTCACATTCTTTACATAACACAGACCCTTTTCTTCATGTCATTTGTTACTCTCTTAAACCCCTGAGGCCATTTTAACAGGTTACAAAACCTTGTACCCCGTAGAAAAAAAAAAACATAAGTGATGGCCTTCTCTATTGTAAGCCAGTGTGACCGTGTGGCTCCTGCTCCGCTTTTCCAGTGACAGAGCTGAGGCTGGGTTTGTCCAGTGCTGTACAGCTCAGTTTGAATCCGCTGGTGCTGAAAGAATCATTCCAGCTCCCAGTGGCCAAGGGCACGGCTGTATCTTCCAAGTTAGGGACAGGAGATTCAGCTGCCCACGTAAATCCGTTAAAGCTACCTCTGAAAACTGTCTGCAGATGGATTCCCTTCCAGCCTCCCTCCCTGCGCTGAAGGGGGAGAGCAACCCGACTACAAACTGTGCCTCCACGTAGTACGTGATCACAGATTCAAGACGCTCACACCCCTCTGAGCGCAGACATTGGCGGCTCGTGGTTGATCTCCCCCTTTACCAACGTAACTCTCAGCGGCGTATCACCCATATGGTGTGCAGTATGATGAACGCTCAAGGGAAAAGTTACGCGGAGCCCTGGGTGACGAGAACGTGGAGTCTGGCTTGACCAAATCCTCTAGGAAATTAAAAAAAAAAAGAAAAAGTCCCTCTCTGAGGGGTTAATTTATGCAGCGGGTGTTAGTGTAAGTAGTCTGTGGCAGCTATATGCTCTGTACTACACTACAAGGTGGTAAATCTACTAGAAATACATGCATTTCTCTCTTTTTGATGTAAAGCAACGTCATCCCTAGGAGCTTTCTATATCAAATTTTACTTCTAAATGCTGATCGTGCCAGAAGGTAGTAAACTTAAACGTTTCCAGATAGTACCCTAGCACCGAGTGAGGAAGTTTAAATGTGATGTGGAGTGTTCGTTTTCCCTACTGAAATGCCTCTCTGCTTTTTTGTTTTGTTTTGTTTCGTTTTAGGCTGCACGAAAGTTTATACAAAGTCTTCTCACTTAAAAGCGCACCTGAGAACCCACACGGGTATGTACTCGCTCTCTCGCTCTCCCGCCTTCGTTCATGGCTTGCACGTTTTCTGAGAAAGCGCGTTTGGTCTGCCACCTTCTCCCTGTTTCTTGCTGAGTGGTGTGGGCTCAGGCTGGCAGTTCAGTTAAGAGAAGTGTACAGTAGGGTCGTTGAGAAGAAAAATTGCTTTAATTCTTAATGCAGTTTTGGTAAACCTTTTAAAAATACAGAACTCAAAATAGCTAAGAATATACCAGGTGGAAAATTTCATTTTAAATCTAAGATGCCATGAAGTCTTACAAAAAAAAAAAAAGAAGAAAAATACTCTATTCCCCTTGAATAATGAATTAAGCATAGTAAACATGTTATAGTTTTTGAGATTTATCTAAATAGACAGAATTTTCTGGTTCGGGCTTTCTCTTTGACCTGTTAAGATTTCTTAATCTCACAGTTTTTCAGGAACGTCCTGAACACTCCCACAATACTTCCATTTGCTTTGTCCGTAGCATCAAGTTGTTTTGTTGGTTTTTTTTTTGTTT